TGTCTCCTTGCCGGTCCACTTGCAATGAAGCTTTTTTTTTTTCCTCAAAAGCCAACATCATGGTATTGGCCTCCATGTACATTAGGCAGCAGGCCCATTGTTTGCTCGGTAACACCCTACCTTTGTAAGTGAAAACAGCCACAGAGACTATGTAAATGACTTTTATCTCATTTAAATGAATTGTCAACCTCAGCTAAATTACTACGTATCATATAAACAGAAAATGTAAGTAAACTGATTATTTCTTTCCGTCCATGTTTTTACCCATTTTCTTCATGTGTAGAATGTTAGGATTTTGAAGTTAACTGTTTCTGAAAACTTATTTGCAAATTTTTCAACACTGCAAAAATTGCTAAAAATAATGAAGCCAATAAAATTAAGCCAGGTTAAAAACATAAAAGAAGAAAAGGAAGGCAGGCAGGCAGGCATTTGTTTAAAGCTTCTTTCCCTCAGCATACTATTATTTATGATTCAGCTATCTTGTTGCGTTTATCAGTAAGTTGATTCTTGGCCGGTGCGGTGGCTCAGGGATGTAATCCCAGCACTTTGGGAGGCCGAGGCACGTGGATCATTTGAGGTCAGCAGTTTGAGACCAGCCTGGCCAACATGGCGAAACCCCGTCTCTACTAAAAATACAAAAATTAGCCAGGCATGGTGGCGGGCACCTGTAATCCCAGCCACTGGGGAGGCTGAGGCAGGAGAATTGCTTGAACCCAGGAGGCGGAGGTTGCAGTGAGCTGAGATCGCGCCATTGCACTCCAGCCTGGGCGACAAGTGAGACTCCTTCTAAAAAAAAAAAAAAAAAAGTTGATTATTTTATTGCTGAGAAGTGTTTCATTGTATACCATTTGTTAGCCCATTCTCTTACTGATGGACAGCTGGGATGTTTGGATGTTAGAAATAAAAGTGCCTTGAACTATCGTAAGTTTTCATGTGAAAGTATGTTTTTTTAATTCTCTTGGGATTAGAGCTGCTGGAACAAAGCAGCAGGGATCAGTGAAACCTTAATTTGTATTTTATTTTATTTTATTTTACTTTATTTATTTATTTATTTATTTACTTATTTATTTATTTATTTTTGAGACAGAGTCTCATTCTGTTGTCCAGGCTGGAGTGCAGTGGCACCATCTCAGCTCTCTGCAAGCTCTGCCTCCTGGGTTCACACCATTCTCCTGCCTCAGCTTCCCCACTAGCTGGGACTACAGGTACCCGCCACCACACCTGGCTAATTTTTTGTATTTTTAGTAGAGGCGGGGTTTAACCTTGTTAGCCAGGATGGTCTCAATCTCCTGACCTCGTGATCTGCCCGCCTCAGCCTCCTAAAGTGCTGGGATTGCAGACGTGAGTCAATGCGCTGAGCCAAAACCTTAATTTTATAAAATGTTTTTTATGTTCCAGACCTTAACTTCTAAATTTGAAGTGTATATTTAATTATGGAATATGCTTTAGTGTAATCTTTTGGGATAATCACATAATATTTCGCCTTGAGATTTTTAATATAAATAACAATAAAATAAAAAACTAATAGTAAATGAATATCCTCCCAATCTTCCTAACCTTGGAATGTGGGGACAGGATTCGAAAATATCTTAGAATTTTGAGATCTTTACATGGTTCCCTCAAGGCTTTTAAAAAGAGTATTTAATTGCCTGGCATCGTGGCTCACGCCTGTAATCCCAGCATTTTTAGAGGCTGAGGCGGGTGGATCACCTGAGGTCAGAAGTTCAAGAACTGAATAGAGGTGCTTGTTAGCATCTGCATCTCAGTGGCTGGGGACAGCTGGACTCAGAGCTTGTGTGACTCATGCAAAGTCAGATGATCATGCCTGGTCAACATGATGAAACCCCGTCTCTACTAAATATACAAAAATTAGCCGGGTGTGGTGGAGGGTGCCTGTAATCCCAGCTACTCAGGAGGCTGAGGCAGGAGAATGGCTTGAACCGGGGAGGCAGAGGTTGCAGTGAGCGGAGATTGTGCCATTGCCCTCCAGCCTGGGCAACAAGAGTGAAATTTCGTTCCAAAAAAAAGAATATTTAATTGTGTTGATTTTAATGATTACTAAAATTTTAGCGGTTTTTTTTGAAACATTTCTTGTTTCCTTTCTCTTTCCCTTGTAAATAAGCTGTAAGAGAAAACTGCTCAATCACAAAATGTAACATAAGGCTTTCATGTCAGTGTCCAATAGGAATGAATTTTTTATGGTGACCAGGTAGGGTTATAATCCAGAACTCTGGTAGGCACATCCATGTGTAGAAAATAGCATCAGTTTTTTTGTCCGGGCGCAGTGGCTCACGCCTAAAATCCTAGGATTTTGGGAGGCTGAGGACGGTGGATCACCTGAGGTCAAGAGTTTGAGACCAGCAGATATAGTGTTCTTGTTCTCAAAGCCGAGGTGGGCGGATCACCTGAGGTCAGGAGTTCAAGACCAGCTTGGCCAACATGGCAAAATCCCATCTCTACTAAAAATACAAAAATTAGCCAGGCGTGGTGGCGGGTACCTGTAATCCTAGCTACTCGGAAGGCTGAGGAAGGAGAATTACTTGAACCCAGGAGATGGAGCAAGACTCCGTTTCTCAAGGAAAAAAAAAAAAAAGAGTGCCAGTTTTAAACAGGTATGAATCTGAATCTTCCACTTACTAGCTACACGATCCTCAAAAAATTACATGAATAACTTGAATCTCATTTCTTCATTTGTAAAATGTATGAAATCTAAATCCTTAGGGGATTTTTGGAGGATGGTATATATAGAGTATCTGATTTATGGAGTGTATTCTGTAAGTTTAATTTTTCTCTTCAGCCATCCATGTAGTCAGTATTTATTTAATAGCTACTATATGGCAGGCTCTGTGCTAAGCACTGGGGATACACCAGTCACACTGCCTGTCATCCAAGCAATTACAAAGCAGTGCTACCTACACCACGATAGAAGGAGAGATAGTGCTAAAGTAGCCATAAAAGGGAGGTCAAGGAATATTTCTCAGAAAAGAAGGTGTGTATTGGCAGTGCTTTAAAGGATGAGTGGCAATTATCCTGGAGTGGCAAAGGAGAGCACTGCTTGTTTGAAAAGATAAAAGTAATTTAACATGACTGGAGCGTTTATTTACTTGGGAGAAATGGCAGAATATGGGCTTCCATAAGGGTCCCAGGTAAATTAGCAAAGGCTACATATTGGCTTTTTAATTTTTAAAATTGATAAATTGTTACAAAATTAATTTCACTGCAGCTGAATGTGACTATAGAAACACTTAAAGCGATTTAGATTGGTTTCACTTTAAATTCATGATCACAAGCTTCGAGTGAGCCTGTCCCTCATCTATTCACTCTCTCTATCCTAGATAACCACTCCATAGTGAATCTCTTCAAACCCTAGACGCTTCTTTATCTATCCTCCCTCTCAGCTGGTGACTTTCTGACCAGAAGTGTTTCAGATTCTGGATTTTTTTGGATATTGGAATATTTGCATATGCATAATGAGGTATCCTGAGGATGGGACCCAACTCTAAACATAAAATTCATTTATGTTTACATTTGCTTCATACACGTAGCCTGAAGATAATTTTATACAATATTTTCTAGTAATTTTGTGCATGAAAGCAAAGCTTGACTGTGTTTTGACTATGACCTGTCACAAGAGATCAGGTGTAAAATTTTCCACTTGAGGTGTCTTGTCTTTTGAAGCATTTTGGATTTTGATATTTAGCTTAGGGATGTTTAACCCATATTATACAAAAAGTGGATAACAAGAAATTGTTTAGGTATATTTACAAATATTTTCTTCTTGGGTGTAATTATTTTGTAAAATGTTTTCATTATTATACCATTTACTTACTACGCTCATATAAACAATAAAAGAAGCTATGTTTTTAATATTCTGAATGCATTTGTTTCTATCCTCTTCAGTTTTATATCCTCAATAAATATATAACAACTAATAGAAAACATTATTTTTTGCTACTAAATAAAACAATTAGTGCATCTTCTATGAGAGACCTTAAAAGTTAATTAGTCATTTAAATGTTCAGGCTAGTAGTTCTGACTGCACATTAGAATCACCAGATAAGCTTTTAAAACTCCTGACGCTGAGGTCTCACACCAGATAAATTAAATTTGAATTTCTATCCATGGAACAAATTGGTATTTTAAAGCCTTCCAGGTGATTTCAGTCTACAGCCAAGATTAAAGGCCACTGGTTAACCAGAGCCCATCAAGCACTGGACATTAATCTTGAATAAACCTTTGTAGATATTTCCAAATGAAGATCAGAGCACCTCTAGCATGCTGCAAACATACTGTCTCTGCTTCTGTCTTCTTTAAAACACAACATACGGGCCGAGCGCGGTGGCTGACGCCTGTAATCCCAGCACTTTGGGAGGCCTAGGCGGGTGGATCACGAGGTCAGGAGATCGAGACCATCCTAACTAACACGGTGAAACCCTGTCTCTACTAAAAATACAAAAAAATTAGCCAGGCGTGGTGGCGGGTGCCTGTAGTCCCAGCTACTCGGGAGGCTGAGGCAGGAGAATGACGTGAACCCGGGAGGCAGAGCTTGCAGTGAGCCGAGATCGCGCCACTGCACTCCAGCCTGGGTGACAGAGCAAGACTTTGTCTCAACAACAACAACAACAACAACAAAACACAACATACGACTTTCTTAAAGAGTCAGGGCCAAGAGTCCAAAGACGGCTTGGCATATCTGCTAGTCAATCTCTTTTAATGAACACTGCCAAAGAGTTGACTCTGCGTTAGGGGCTAATGGAAACACAAAGGAGGAAGAAAACATGAGCTCTGCTTATAAGAATCCCAGTTAAAGACATTAGATAAGCGGTCTTTCCTCTCTAGTCTTCATGATCCCTGTCTGTGCAATGAGGATAGTGCAGATATCTTCTTCATCTGATTATTGAGAAGATATTAATAAAATGTTGTACATAAGTGTTTGTATTAGTGAATGGCAGTACATTTTTAAAAATAATGTGGCCATTATTTTTTTTTCTTATTTTCAGCTGACTGAAGCTGACAACAAATTTTCAGCCGATAAGTAGAGTGAAGACTCTCAAACACTGTAATGCGCATGCCTACACTCTTAGACATTAGGGGAATCTCAAGAAGAATTTGAGGAGGGAAAAACAATATGGGTCAGGATGCTGATGTCTTTCAACTCTCCATGAATTAAGGTAAGAAAACTGTTAATTTGTAGAAATGAAGTGATGTCATAACTACTGGCTTTGGCCTAGGGAGTTAAGGGTCTAGGATCCAGAGAAGTAAACTGTATTAATGATGTGGTCAGATCCATGCCAGAGTTTGTTTGGAAATGCACAGAATTGATTCCAAGATGTTTTAATAATGCAGTCTGGAGTTTGCATCTCAAAGTAATGATCCATCAAGGATGGTCTTTAGAGCTATTTTCTAACTCACATGCTTAGTGGAGACTCACATCAAAATGCCCTGTTAATAGGAATCAGTAGCTGGTAAACTGAAGCCTAATTCAATTTGTGTCATTTCCCTGCAAATCTGTACTCCATCTATGTGCCATCACCTGAAGACCACACACCCGAAGCTATTAGTATACAATATGATGTATAACAGAGCTCCATGACTTCTCTGTGGAATAAATTTATTTCACTGTATTTTTAAAAAATATTTTTCATGTTTATACTCAGAGTAAATGAGAAATGTTACAGCTATTCTTCTTTGTAAATTGTCACACCTTAAGTTCCTTAGGATGGCTCAACTCTTTCACTCTTCTAGCATGGGAAAGAATTGTTTAATAAAAATAAAACATAACAGTGGATTCATGATCAAAAGAAGGCAAAATAGAAGATTTTTGTTTTCTATTTCTCTTGACTACTCAGCTAATTGTACGACCACTAAACCTTTCTTTATCTCCCCCACCTCACAGGGTTAATCTCTAATGCTACTCAATATTTTATACCTATGTGGAAACTACCACTTAACAAAATGTTGTTTGATGTGGGAAAAAAATCATTCTTTCAATATTTGATAATTTTGTATGGCTAAGCACTTTTGTTAGATTTTTATTTTCTTCAAGAGAAATAAAATAGAGGCAGTGGAAAGGATTACTTCTCTGTCCCCAGGGGTTGAATACTCACCAGAGGACTCGGTATGTTTGATTCCTGATACTTATTTAAGACCCTTTTTCATGCTTACTTACTAGGGCTTTTAAAATTTGTCTTCTTCCAGGTGAAATCATGCAAAACAACTCGAGAATGAAACTACTGATTCATTAACAAAGAACAGAAAATAAGCAAGGGCAAAACTTGAGAACATACATACACAAAAATACAAAGACTCACGTAATTTTTATCTCAGATAAACAAAGAAAGAAGTTTGCTGAATTTGCCTTTCTACTAAGAAGCCTTTGCTTTCACTTGGTTGGGAGGGTGCTTAACATCAAGAAGCAGGAGCTCCTGGAAAACAGGCGCCTTCTACCCTAACATGTTTTCTGTGGGGCCGTTCAGTTATTGTCCCTAAGCAGGGGTAACTGGGAAGTAGCCTTGGGCTGTAATTTTCCCATTTTACCTTAAGCAATATCATAACTAGCAATGTGTGACGCCCAGGAGGTTTGTTTTCTAGATAACATTCTCTTTACAATATAAGGGCTCTTTGAGAGAGTTAAGATAATAAATCCTCAGAGTAAAGTCTAGGATACTCTTTAGAAATTAACTATTACTTGAAACGTATGAAAGCCGTTCAGCAGGTGACAGAGCTATTTGAAAATAGATTAAACAACTTTCAAGTAAATTATTATAATATAATTTAACATTCATTAATGTTGTTAGTGATTACACACTAAAACATAGCCCAAAATAACATATTTTATCCTCATATTGTAACACAATTTATGTAACACTTGAACAAAAATCCCTCAATGTGCAGCTGATTTTAAATCCACCATCAGTTCTACTAGTCAAAAGTGGATAATCATTTTGCATTTGTACCTCTGGTAGCCAAAGTAATGTATCTTCTCTTCATGTTTCTTTATCATTCATTAATGTGCTGTTTTCACATTGGTTAGTTTTGAAATTGTCCATGGCCCAGTTGACCCAAGCAGAAAGATTTCACAGGCTGGTTGCATTGTATTTTACCTTCTGTTGTCAATTCCTTTGGTCTAGTAAGAATGAAATCCTTTGGTCTCATAAGAATGAGTTTTTTTTTCCTTTGAGCATACAGAATATTTTTGGTTTTGTTCAAAAGCGAAGCCACAAATCAGAAAATGTTTTTCTTCTTTGTTTATTTGCTCCTCTAGCAATGTGTATTTCATATATGTGAGTGCTCAGGTCTAAATTTCAGGTCTACATTCAGCACAGCATCGTCATGGACAGCTAATGAGATTGCAGATGGTAAAGCAGAACATGTGTGGTCATGGGATGAAACTACTCCAAATATTTTATTAAATGCTTACACTCCCTTCTCTCACTGGCTTCATTTGCATAAACATTTTATATTACAATTTTTTTACAGACATAAATACATGAATACCTCCATTGTAATTGTGCTTAAAATTTAGCATGATTATCTCCTTTGAAGAATAGAATGGTCCTTTAATCAACCAATTAAAATTGTATAACCCACCAGAAGAATTCATACACTGTGCTTAATAATTAGTCACAAACCATATGTCTGGGGATATTTAATATTGACTTTAGCTCCATGTATATTATTTCCATCTACTTTTTTATGTTAGTGGGTTAACAGTATGAGTATGAATATATGAATTTCTAAATGGAAAGAGATGTGCTTTCTTTATTACGCTTTGGATTGTCAAGGAGAGCAATGGTTAAATATGACTAAGGTCCATTTATATTTAACTCTGCTCTTTTTTTCTGGAATTGACAGTATAGCTGAATGCATGCTGGTGTTGTACTTTCTCCTTTGAAATAACAGAGAAGCCAGATGAAAGGATTATTGCTCACAGAAGAGAATAGAAAAAAAGCAAGAGACCCAGGGAAAGAAGGACTCAATCCACTTTCTCTAAAATTATTCATGTTTGAGACAATGACTGATGTCATGAGTATCTTCTTACCTCTCTATGCCTTTTTATGGCATATTTTAAGGTTGATTTTTGAACTGGCTTTATAAATGTTTTCTAAGGTTTCAATGAAGGTGAATATGCCTTTGCAAACTATTTCTCAGGCTATGAACCATGAGTGTGTGGGTCAGTGAGTGGCAATGATGACATGCCACACTTGTGGAGAACTAAATGTGAAAGATTAAATGCTTTTTGCCTTAGATCAGGAAGAAGAGGTTTTTCATTTGTTTAGAATGAACTCTCTGAGTTTCCTTATCCGCTCAGCTGGTAGCCATTGTTTTCTGCAGCCACCAGAGACCCAGACGGAAGCACAGCAGCAGGAGACCCACCTGCATGGGTCAAATTGCAGATGTGGCTTCAATGACATGATCACAGTGTGAAAGTTCCCTGGGGGCACACAGCATGCCTGGAGAACACACACACACACACACACACACACACACACAGAGGTCAATGCCTTTATTGGGTCCAGGGCATTATATAAACAGGGAACTTCAAATTGATGGGTTTAAAGCAAGCAGGCACTAGTACTAGGAAGTCACATTGTGACTGAAAAGTGTCTAAATGGTCTGTTTAGAGGAAGCAGCAGGACAGCTGGGAGCCCAGATTGCTAGGAGACAGAGGTGCCTCCAAGTTTTTATTTCTGATCACTAGCTGGAGCCATTTGGTGGGGGTATAGTACAGGAAACCGTACTATAGGGTACAAGGTACAAGGATGACTGAACCCTGCTTCTGGTTTGAGAAAGTTCAACTCATATTTAAAAATGGATGTTAAGGCAACATAAAACTTTAAGCGCTCACTGCACTACGCTTACCTCTATTATTTACCATTGTACTGGAGGTTCTAGCCAAGATAATTAAACAAGAAGAATAAAGCAAAGGCATTCAGATTGGAAAGGAAGAGGTAAAATTATCTCTACTTGCAGATGACATTACCTTGTATATAGAAAATCCCAACAATGCCACTAAAAAAATTATTAGAACTAATTAACAAGTTCAGCCTGACGGCAAGGTACAAGATCAATATACAAAAACTGCATTTCTGTACTCTAGCAATGAACACTTCAAATTAAGACAATTCCATTAATAATAGCATCAAAAAATAAAATGCTTAGAAATTAGTTATTCAAAAAGAGCAAAAGTTATACCCTAAAACTACGAAACGTACTTGAAAGAAAGTTAAAAAAAAAAAAGGAGTAAATAAATGACAAGACACCAATGTTCATAGATTGGGAGACATTATTAAGATACTTTCCCAAATTGATCTACAGTCACGACATCTCTATAGAAATCCCAACAGCCTTTTCTGTGGAAATTGACAAACCGATCCAAAAATTCATGTGGAAATGCAAGGGACTCATGATAGTCAAAGTAATCTCAAAAGTGAAGAACAAATTTGGAGTATGCACACTTCTCTACTTCAAAATTTACTACAAAGCTATAGTAATAATTGCAGACTTGTACTGGCATAAGGACATATAGATCAATGGGATACAGCTAAGAGTCCAGAAACCAATGTTTACATTAATAGTCAGTTGATTTTCAACAGGAATGCCAAGGCTGTTCAATGGAAATAATAGTCTTTTCAACAAAAGGTGCTGGGAAAACTGGATATCACATGCTAACAACTGAAGCTGGACCCTTTGCTCATATTTTATGCAAAAAGTTACCTCAAAAATATATCATAGACTAAAATTTAATAGATAAAATTATAAAACACTTAGAAGAGAGCATGGGGAAAAAATCTTTTTGAGTTTAGGCAAAGCTTTCTTAGATATGACACCAAAAGCACACGCAACAAAAGAAGAAAATAGATAAGTTGGACTTCCTATAACGTATACATATATGAATATATCATATTGTATCCCATAAATATACGCAATCATTATTGATTAATTTTTTTTTTTAAAGTGAAAAAAAAAAAAAATTTGAGATGGAGTCTTACTGTCACCCAGGCTGGAGTGCAGTAGTGTGATCTTGGCTCACTGCAATCTCTGCCTACGGGTTCAAGCAATTCTCATGCCTCAAACTACCCAGTAGCTGGGATAACAGGTATATGCCACCATGCCTGGCTAATTTTTGTATTTTTAGTAGAGATGGGGTTTGGCCATGTTGGCCAGGCTT